ACACTTTATAGTTTTTTGCTATTGTGAGTAATATATGTTAATTTTGGTTATCATTGGTATATAAAATATACATAATTTGTATGTATTTGCCTTAAAAGTAAAATATAAGGAAACATTCACACCATACCAGGTGTCTTGTTGAGTATAATAGCTCAAATCCAAAAGCTATACGTTCTGTGATTACTTCATACAGTTGCAAAATGAGATGACATAACAAGCCAGTGATTTTAGTGTGGGGCAGCATAGGAAAGGTGTGAGGCCGCTGTGGGTGCTGTCAAGGGGTGGTAACATGTGGGTCTCACACAGTTGTTCTGATGGACTGAAGGCTTGTACAGGCTGGCAAGGTTCCACTCAAGTCTGTGTGGTTGATTTGCCAGTAGCTCCCTGCCTTGAAGAAGTTGCAGAAACAAAACACAATCAAGCTCATACCAAATTGGAGGCTGAGATCTCAGGCTCTATAGTCAAGAAGCTAAGAGTTTGCATTGCTGGGTGGACACTGGCCATTGTTCCCAGAGCAGAACTCTACCCGCCTCCCCTAGTTTCCTTTCTTCATGCAGGGAGGTTGGTCACCAGCCCCACTGGCACAGTCCTTCACTTTCTTCATGCAGGAAGATTGGTCACCAGCCCCACTGACACAGACCTTCACTTTCTTCATGCAGGAAGGTTGGTCACCAGCCCCACTGGCACAAACCTTCACTTTCTAGTTTAGTTTCGCTCATCATAACCAACTATGATCTGAAAATTTAAATACTCAAACATTCTGAAAAAGACCACATTCTTGTTACTTTTATTGAAACATTGTTATAATTATATTTCATTGTTATTCTTAAATACTATGACTAGTTTATCTAATCTACTGGGAAGTAGAAAAAGACAAGATCTCCTGAGTAAATTGGGAACATAGGGACCTTGAGAGAGGGCTGAAAAGGAGGGGAGAGGCAGAGAAAAATTTAGAGCTCAATAAAAATCAATAAAAAGTTAATTTCAGTAGATATTACATATCAGAAGAAACATAGCATACCTAGAGTTGGTCCAGTCTGTGGTTCCAAGTATCTACTGGGGAGTTGAAGTCCGTTCCCAATGGAGTCGAAGGATGGCCAGACATAAACTAGCACAGAAGGCCGTGCCTGCGCTGCTTTGTTCATTACACTGACTCTTGCTGGACTCATTTTCTCTGTCAATCTGAATTATAGGATTTGGATGATTAGTATCTCTCTCATGTTTACAGATATATGTAATATCTCACTGGACTCTTAATTTGATGGTGGCACTTCTAAAACCTTTGAACAATGCATTTCTTTGTTGGGTTATGCACGCCCTGATCTGTATGTGAAATGGGAGAACAGCTACTGGGAGTTAATTTACTCCTTCCACCATGTGGGTCCTAGGGATCTGATTCAGTTGTCAGGCTTGCTCTACAAAGACTTTTGCTCACTGAGCAGTCCTGCTTGATCCAAGGTCTACTTTCTTTTGAAACCTTGGTTGACCACTAGAATCAAGTCAGCCTTTAGTAAGAGATCACAGAACTGACATATGTGAAAATTAGAAATTGACACAAGTTATACCTAGCATCAAATCTTAGCCTGATTTCCTTCATGTGGAACATAGAGACAGTTGTCAGAATTTAGGAGGGTAAGTTGGCATGAGTTCATGCTAACCAGATTATACACATTTAACAGAAAGGTTGATCCATGCTGGCATTGCTAGTAGGCGGATTGTTGGGAACAGTGACAATAGGATTTCAAGTTCTATACCTGGACTAACACATTTAGCTGGGCTTGGTGACTCAGGGCTGTAATTCTAACAGTTTAGCTACTCAGAGACTGGGGCAGAAGGATAAAGAGTTGGAGATCTACCAAAGCAAATTCAAATCTAGCCAGGCCATGCAGAGAGAGCCTGAGTGGAACTGGAGGGTGTAGCCAGTGGCTACGCTAGAGCACTCTGAACAGGAAGCGAAGGCAGTAGCCTTGTGACTGCTGTCCTCCTGCTCACTAAGGTTAGAGGTCCCTCAGGTAGCAGTGCTGATCCCAAGCCCAGGAGGAGCTCAACTGCTCCTGAGATGACAGCGTTCACTGTTATGTTGCTTGGAGCTGTTCTTCAGCAGAAAGCTTTTGGTTCTGCCTGCTGCTGCCTGCAGTATATCATCAGAATGAAACATGCAGGAAGATGTCAGATGAAAACTCAGTGTCCTTCGGCCTTAGCTTTTGTAGGAAATGGTTTTGATTGTATTTGGATAAAAAGTTCTGATGAAAATGGCTTCTCTTTTCTTTTGCTCAGATTAGAATTGGCATGTGAATTATTTCAGGTAGATTCGTTCCCCAAGGAGAATTGCATGTGTTTCTCAGGCAGGCTGGGGACTCAGCTCACCTGGCAGTGATAAGTGCTGAGGTTTAATTGTAACAAATTAGAGCTTAAATATAGCAAGCATCCTGGGGCCTAAGTGGAATTGTATTGTGTATTTTGGGGAAAATGCACTTGAAATGTATTTAGACTCTGAATTTCTTCTTCAGGTATTTGTAGCTGTTTGTAGCTGTGGGACTAGACTGTTTGAACAAAAATGAAGGCAGTTTACATCTTGAAATCCACCTCAAATTTCCTACAATTGCAAAAATAAACATTTTCATATGCGTTCCCATTGGCAGCATCCCTGGCAGACTGCTCATCTAAGGCGATTCGTCTTTCATACTGTATGATAGTAGAGTCACGGCTGTGCCCTGGCTCAGTGAACCATCTGAAGACAAATTGTCATGTTCTACCTGGAATAGGTCTGTGGCTAACAGGGTCATGGTTGGTAAACTAGCAGTAGAATGGACTTGGAATGCATCTAACATGTTTATGTAATGGGTTACAAAGCATGTCAGAGTTAGCACCTCCCTGCATAAAGGTCTGTACAGTCAGGGCATTACTAAGTCAAGTCAGTGTAGTGACAGCCATTACTTTGCTCCCGTAGAGTGTGAGTGCCTTAGAGACTTAGCATTAAAAGCAAATTATTCCTTTAGCATTTGACCAAATTCACAACATAGATCATGGTACATGTGCGGCTGTGATTCCTTGTGTGGGAGTGTTGTCCTATTTCACTAAGTTCTTTTTAGTGATGATTTTGTGTTCTACGCTCTGTACATCTGTTTATCCTCTAAAAGGTGTTTATTCTTCCCTTTGACACCAGCAACCACAGTTCTGTATGTTCTTTGAGGTGTCTGAAACTGAAACTGGCCCAGGAGTAATTTCTTATAATACGGTGTTCTGTGAACTAATGCATTTCTGTAACTTCAACGGCATAGATTGCTCGTGGTTCGTAAAGAACAGTGCACAAAAGAATCTTGGTGAGCTTCTTCGGCTCTTTATAACCTGAGCCTGGTGACAGACCATAAGCTGAGGACAGAAAACAACAGCCCACCCAGTGCGGGGTGACATTTTCCAAAACATCTTGACCCACACATAAGCAAATGACTGTGCTTTTCCAGTGTGCAGGTCTCTGAGCCAAGTGATCAGAGCCATGGAAAATTAGACAGCTGTCCATCTCCCTGTCAATTAGACACAGAACGTGTCTTCCCTTAACTGGCCCACCTCCCAGGCTCAGTTTCCTCCCAGCTTCTGTCTGTGTTTATCTCAAAAAGGGCAGTGGTCTTTCTCTTATTCATAAAGCACCTATTTTAAGCCAGGTGGGTGGTGGTGGTGCACGCCTTTAATCCCAGTACTCCAAGGAAGAGGCAGGTGGATCTCGGTGAGTTCAAGGCCAGCCTGGTCTATAAGAGCTGGTTCCAGAACAGGCTCCAAAGCTACAGCGAAACCCAGTTTTGAATCCCAACCCCCGAAATCTCTTTTTAAACCCAAATCAAATAAGAATCAATGAGAAATGTTTTGTGTTTCTTCTCCAAATGCCCCCTTTGACCTCAACCCACCTGGAAGGTATTGTGATTTCACACTTATCAGCACAAAGATCCCTCACACTGCTTGATACTTAACATTGAGTAATTTGGCAGCTTCTCACAGATCCTGGGCTGCAGACCCACACAATGGTAGACCTGCACCTGGCCGCTGGACCTTCCTGGGGTCCATTTTCTTTCCCTTCAGCTTAAAGACTGTTGGCATCTGTTAGTTTACTTCACTCTTTTAACAAGGGTGTGAGTAGCCAAAAAATGGAGAGGTGCTGGCTGAAGAGACATGCACAGTAATGCCAATTTAGTGTCATTAATGTCATTCCTATCATTTTTAAGGTGTGAACCTTACAGGTAGATTGATGAAGTTATGCTGATTTGATGCTTCTTAATTTGCCACTGACTGATTCCTAAATATTGTTTTTCAAAAGTGTATTTATTAATCGGTTGAACCATGTGACTTATAATGCTGATAGGTCATAAATGGTTGATGAATAGCAGTTTCACACCCATTTTGTACACAGTCTTATCTGCTGAGTTTCCATAGTTTAGTTAGGGAGACGTGAACATGTTTGAGTTGGCACATAATAGGTGTGCTGATACTGTTTCCTTCAGTGGGCAGTTTAGAGTGTGTTCTTATATAGTTACCCTTTAATTAAAGCCTGGAAGACCTTCCAGAGGCCATCTAGTATAGTCTACTACTTATAGATTTTAAATACGTAATATTACAAAATATTTAATATTAAAAAATCACTAGAAACAAAGCACCTATTCCAGATGCCTCAAGACCTATTTCACATATTTTCTCATAGTAACTCTTGCTTGATTTCCCTTTTTATGCCCACAGTACTCTGTGTGTTAATGGGGTACTCAGAACAAGTTCCCTGCTTCTCTTACAGCTCATACTGTAGCTTATGTGAAAGGAATTATCCACCCAACTATCACCTGTAAACGTATCTAGATTATAAAAGCATTTGAGCATTTGTTTCCTTAAATATGCATAAATAATTTATTTTAAAGTCTGAAATCCAGTATTTATTTCTATAAAAATTAATATATGTATTGGGTGTGGATGTTATATACGTCTGGCCTCACTGACCATCATGATGGTTTTGTTTACAGCCTGCGGGTGAACTTGGACATGGGCAAAGCAGCATATGGATGGATGATTATGAAAGATGAGAATATTCCTGGGACAGTTGTTCGGACCAGCACAATACCAGAGGAACTTGGACGCCTGGTGTACTTACTGACAGACAAAACAGGTACTGTTCATTTCTATTTGTTTTTCAGTGGACCAGATAACATCAGAAATATTTTTTTACACATGATATATATCATAATTGAATGCTGGATTTATAGGTTTCCAGACTCAACTTTTGAAAACTTTATATGAATGAATCTCCATTCTTTCATACCTTCACTTCCTTTAAAGTTAGTGAACTGTGTCTTTGTTGTAGCTTTATATTTTAGTTTATTTTATATTTTATATTGAATTTTATAGAATCTCACAAGCTATTTTCTCACTACTGTTACGTACCTCTCTAGTGGCTTAAGAGCAAAATGTGTATTTGTTTTTTATAGGATGATCCTTGCTTGAGTTGTTAGAAGTTAGGTAAATTCAGTGTTTTAACAGTAGTACCTCCAATGCAGATTACTACACCTATTTATCCCTTTCTGTGTTGTCCTTATTTGTTGTTCTTTCTATTAAAGAATTCTTAGCAATCTATAATGTATTAAATAAAAGATAATGATTTAAATTTCTAGTGTTAGTGAACAACATAGTAAAAGCAACATACAAAGCATAATTAAATAAAATATGTCCCAAATATGATCCAGCACCTTCTTTGATTAGTATTAGTTTCTAGCTAAACTACAAAGAATGCAAATACACTCACAACATAATTTAACATTGTTGTAGAATGATTTCCATTTGCAAAAAGATGGGAAATAAAAGCAGGTGTATAACCAGGAAAAACACATATGTGCAGATGTGATGACTAGAGTAGCCAACTGATAACTAATTAGAATATTAAATCAGAAACAAATGGCAGGTTGAAAGTTTAAATACTCAAAACAACCCCTCTGGGTGTAAGTGGGAAACAGCTTCTGCTCACAGCAGCATGCTGTCAAAAATGTGGCTATGAACCAAAAGACCTGGATGGTGAGTGTGAACAATGACATCACCAAGAACTATAACCAAACATTTGATGAATATGAATTCAGCATTCTGCAGATGTTAGCTCCCATGGGGATTCTGGAAGTTTAGTGTAACTCAGGTTCCAGTTTGAGAATTTTTACTTGGATTTCAGTACAGTACCAGGTGGAGAAAATCAAGAAAGGTTAGTGCCCATAAATGCAGATGACCCAGAGGTTCCTACTTTAAGAAACTTTGTAAATGGAAACTGTGCTTTCATTTCCTGGCTGTCCAGACCCAAATAATCATACAGAAACTAATTACCACACATTTTGGCCAGTGGCTCAGGCATATTCCTAGCTAGCTCTTACATCTTAAGTTAACTAATTTCAATTAATCTATGCATTACCACAATGCTGTAGCTTACCCATAATTCTCTGGCATCTTTCTCCTTTGGTGGCTACATGGCTCTCCCTGACTTCACCTGTTCTCTCTCTTTCTCTGTTCGGATTTCCCACCTCGCCTTTACTCTGTTAAACCATAGGCCGAAACAGATTTATTCATCAACCAATAAAAAAAAACAATATAAACCATATACAGAAAGACATCAGAACTAGACTGAGGAAATGAGTTATGAGTTTCCTTTCCCAATTCTAGTCAGCTGACAGGAAATTTGTAGAAGACTTCAATCTATGGCAATGCTAGCAAAAGTGTATAACATTCCAAAATTGAAAAGATCTGGAGCAAGGAGGAAGTCAATACCAAGCATATTGAAGCTCAAGATAGCTCCTAAGATGAGCCACACAGAGGGAAGAACTCTCCAGACCAAAGTCTGGAGGGGTGGTACTGCATAGCTAGTATACTTGGCAGACAGATACAAGAAAAAGGCACTGAACATGAGTGCACTGCTGTTCAGTGTTCACAGGCAGCATTTGTTCAGGAGCCAGTTCATCAGAGTTACCCACTACTATGAGCTGCCTAGTCTTGCTGATAGAGGCACTAAAACCAAATCTTCAGCATTATAATCAGAGTAAAGATCACAAACAGCCTGGGAGAACCTTCAAGAAAATTGTTGGTCCTTAAGAGAGTTTAGTTGAAGGCATAACCCCAGTACCCTGTATCCCAGCAACAGTTAGACACTTGCTGTGAAAATACAGGAGAGAAGACCTAAGTCAATCGATAGTGTGTGCTGATAGCCAGGCTTTCACATTTAACATGCACAGGACAGCAGCTCCTTTTGCTTTGGGCAGGGATGGTGTAGGGTGCCACATTATAGACAGGCCGCATGGTTGGAAAGCATGTGCTGCACTTCTCCGTAGTTATACTCCTGCTCCTTTTCCTTCCCAAAAAAATGTTTGCAGCTACATGGGGTGATTATAAAATGATGCTGATAATGTTGGTTTGGTTAACAAAAGCAAAATGTTTAGTTAAAATACACATAAGAGTAAACTTTTTTACAGTAGAATTTAGGGCCACCTAGTAGTACACACCTGCAAGCAGGAGACTGACTCAGTAGAGTTATGAGTTGAAGGCCCGTCTGGAGTACATAGTGAAATACTGTCTCAAAAATTAATTTTAAAAATAGCCAGGCGGTGGTGGATAGATAAGTGTGGGTTGTCATACTGTCCAGAGACCCAACTAACAGTGAAAACAAGAGATAGATGTATAAATGAGCATGGAGAGACTTCAAATCATATTAATGAAGGACTAAAACACACAGAAGGAAAAAAGGAGTCTCTAATGTTTATTGGTACTAAGATTGATTAAAAAAAAATTAAACCACCTAACACTTAAAGAAAAATAACTTAGCTGTAAAAGAACAAGAAGGAGAAGGTGGAGAAGAAGGAGGAGGAGGAGGAGGAGGAGGAGGAGGAGGAGGAGGAGGAGGAGGAGGAGGAAGAAGAAGAAGAAGAAGAAGAAGAAGAAGAAGAAGAAGAAGAAGAAAAGGAAGAAGAAAAGAAAGGGCAAAACATAAAAGGTAAAATAATCATAATGGTAACTAGGAATTGAAAAAAGAACCTGGTTTATTCCTGAACATCAAACAAGATAGACTCTACAATAAAAAGCACTTTTTAAGAAAGAGGGAACTTTACTAATAGAAGTTTGAAATATATATTTGCTTTAATGTTGCATGGAGCCACTTTTTAGTTCCCAGCAGTCCTGCTAGCTTAGACTCAAAATAATCACACAGAAACTGTATTAATTAAATCGCTGCTTGGCCTATTAGCTCTACCTTCTTATTGGCTAACTCTTACATATTAATTTAACCCATTTCTATTAATCTGTGTATTACCACATGGCTGTGACATACCAGCTAAAGTTTCCAGCATCTGTCTCCGGCAGCTTCATGGCTTCTCTTTGACTCCACCCTTCTTTCTCCCAGCATTCTGTTTAGTTTTCCCCATCTAGCTAAGTTATGCCCTGCTATATGTCCAAAGCAGTTTCTTTATTCATTAATGGTAATCACAGCATACAGAGGGAAATCCCACATCCCTTTAAAGGTTTCTATGTACAAGCACAAAGTGATGCAGGAGAAAATTACAGTATCTGCTAATGTAGGAGGAAATGTTAGCATCATCACTTTAAGTAATTAATTGATCATCCAAGCAGGCAGGAACCAGCTAAACTAAAGTCTGAATAGCATTGATCTCATGGAGTAGACTAATATCTTTATCTGCCACCTAGAGAATGTTTTTAGCTAGTGTGGGAAACTAATGAGGACTGAAATGAACTAGACCTTAGTTGAGTCTCAGTGAACTCCAAGGGGTGGGTGTGCCTACTTACGGTAATGGCAGAAATTACCATGAAAGTTAGGAACACATTGCAGATAGAACATAGAATTATTGCTATCTTTCCCTAACATCAGAAATGGCCAAAGTTAGGAACACAGTGCAAATAGCACGTAGAATCACTGCTGTCTTTACCTACCATCAGAAATGGTCAAAGTTAGGAATGCAACAGAAATAGCACACAGAATCACTCGCTATCTTCACCTGTGGGATATTCAAGGAACTTGTGTTTTCAATTTAAAAAAGAAAGAAAGATGACGACTTGGTAGTATATGCCTTTTATTCTAGCATTCATGCAGAGAAAGGTGGATCTCTGTGAGTTTGAGGCCATCCTGAGAGTACCAGGCATCTAGGACTACATACAAAGACCTGGCTCAAGAAAGAATAAAATTTAATCATAAGAGCAGTAAAAGCCAATGACATTGGAAAGAGATCCTAAAGATGAGAACAGAAAACAGTGATGTGGTATTCAGAAGCAGGTGGAGTGTGATGGTTCACATCTGCAGGCCCAGCTGCTTGCTCAGAAGACAGAGGAGAGCCCCTTGAGTCTACATTCAAGGCCAGCCTAAGTAACACAGCAAGATTCCTTCTTTTTAGAAACAAACAGTTGTAAAGATAGAACAGCACCATTCAGCTGGCCAGTCTTTACAAAAGACTTAATAAAAATAAGTACAACTTGAAGGTAAAATCTGGAAAAAAAAATAAAAAAAAAAAACCAAAACAGATACAAGCAAGTAGAGCAAAGCTACAATGATGATATTTTAAAATATCATAATGGAATACCAGCTCCTTATTGTCAGCAGCTTTTCAATGCAAGCACTAGAAAAATTCTTCAGGAAATGTAAACCATTAAATCAGACCCAGAAGAAATAGTTTTTATCACCTGAAAGCATTTTTTAAATTTTCACCTTTATTTATTTGTTTATTTATTTATTACTTATTTTCTGGGGGTGGTAGGTGCATGTGCATGCTACTTTACATGCATGGAGATCAGAGGACCACTTAGGGAGTCAATTTTCTCCTTCCACCATATGGGCTCTGGGGATTGAACTCAGGTCACCGAGTTTGGCAGTAGGTGCCTCTATCTGCTGAGCCATCTCACCCACCCCATCCAAAAACTATTAAAAGTAATCTTCAGAAGGATCTCCTACCACTAGCCCAAAATGATTTATGGGTATTTTTATCATTATACTTTCTATAATATAAACTCGCTTTTTCAGATACAAGAATTTAGAGAGAGCATTTTATTTGTAGAAAACTGAAGCCTCAGCAAGGTCAGGAGAGAACAAGAAAGGAAAGGTAAAAGTATCTCTTTCATGTCAATCTAAAATTCCCAAAT